ACACTCCAGTACACGCACCAGTATACACTCCAGTACACGCACCAGTACATGCACCAGTACACACTCCAGTACACGCACCAGTACACGCACCAGTACACGCACCAGTACATGCACCAGTACACACTCCAGTACACGCACCAGTACATGCACCAGTATACACACCTGTATGACCAGTATCAGCAGCAGCATCAAAGGTAGAAATGATTGTCTTGTGTGTTTCAGGCTAAAGAGGCCATCTTGGAAATGGATTCCATATGTAAGTTAATGTTGAATGTTTGTATTAAAAAGTGTACAAATGTCCGTCCTCGTGGTGTTTGTCTGTCATGGTATTTGTCACATGAACTGTGTATAACTGAACGTCGATGTTCTCCCCTGTTCTCACCTGTAGACCCTCCCATGTATCGGTACAGTCCTGAGCGACTGAAGAAAGCTCTGTCTTGTCAGTCTGATGAGTTTCCACCAGACGGTCGTCAGGGACGACGACAGTCCGGTAAACACAAACAACTTGAACTACTTCTTGTTGATAGATGTGATGAAGTACTTCCTGTTGATAGATGTGATGAAGTACTTCCTGTTGATAGATGTGATGAAGTACTTCCTGCTGATAGATGTGATGAAGTACTTCCTGTTGATAGATGTGATGAAGTACTTCCTGTTGATAGATTTGTTTTTATTCGTTTCTGTTTTCTTCTTCAGAGCCGATCAAAGAAATACTGAAGAGCAGCAAAGGTACGACTTCACTGACACTAATACTTAATGATTACATCAAGAAGTCAGATAATATAATAATCATAATAATATTAATAAAGATCATATTAATAATATTAATAATGATATGTTTAACCAATCATCATGTCTGCTTTTCTTCTTCTGCTTCTGATTCTCCTGTTGATCAGTCATCCTGAAGGTAGGAAACATGAACTGATGTCTTTAATACTCCTCTTCCTTCCTCCTCCTGCTGCTCTTCCTCCTTTTCCTCTTCTTACTCTTCCTCCTGCTCCTTCTTCTTCCTCCTCTTCCTACTTCGTTTTCCTCCTCCTTCCTCCTCTTCCTTCTTCCTCCTCCTCTACATTGTGCTCAGCATTGTGTGTGTGTGTGTGTGGGGTGGGGGGTGGGTCTCTCTCTCGCTGGGCGAATGTGAGGAAGACCATGAGGAAGAGGAGGAGCTCTGCAGCAGGAAAGACTCAGTAGAGCAACTGATCTCGGTGTATGAGGAGGAGGAGGAGGAGGACTTCACCGCCTCCGTTCTGGCCGCCGTCTCCTTTTGGGCCCAGACTCTGTTTCCAACAGGCGTTACCATGGTGACGATCTCCTTCCTGTTTCCTCCATCCTCGCTGCAGCTCCCTAACACACTAAAGGGAAGGTCGCTCACTGCCGGAGCTCTCGGTTCTGCTCCATGAGCTTCATGTGGTGAACTAACAGCAGCTGAGCTGAAACCTCAGAGACCTTCAGTTCAGCTTTTATTAACATTCATTTAATAATGTGCTGACTATGCTGTTCTTTGCTGATTCAGATACTTTCTTAGAACTATAATTAGCAGCATACAAATAACATTTAACTAACTTTAACTATTGAATATTATGTCTCCAAAACAACAGAACCAAACTCATCTCAAAATATCAAAGTGCTTCAAATTAAATCCGATTATTTCACTCATTATTATCATTATTATTATCATCATTATCATTATTATTATAATTATTGTCATTATTATCATCATTATCATTATTATTATCATCATTATCATCATCATCATCATCATCATCATCATCATCATCATCATCATCATTATTATTATCAGCATTATCATCATTGTCATTATTATTATTATTATCATTATTATTATCATCATTATTATCATTATCATCATTGTCATTATCATTATTATTATAATTATTATCATTATTATTATTATCATTATTAACATCATCATTATTATTATCATTATTATCATCATTATTATTATTATCATTATTATTACTATTATCATTATTATAATTATCATTATTATCATCATTATTATTATTGTCATTATGATTATTGTCATTATTAACATCATTATTATCATCATCATCATCATTATTATCATTATCATTATTATCACTATCATTATTATTATTATTATATCAAACATGTTTCACTTTGAGGACCCGTAGTGCCATTGTGTGGTGAAGAGGAGGATTTATTCTTCTCTGGTGCTGAAGAACTTCCAGAACTACGACGGGACAAAATACAAAAGTGCTGAGAATGAAAAGATGTAAAAGCTCCAGAAACAAATGTTTCCAACTTCTGAAGATGAGACGGAGATCTGAAGAGCTTCAGGGTTCTTGTTGCTCATTCGGTCTGTAATGAAGTAATAAAGACCCAAAACAAAACCACGCCTCCTTCCTGTGGCGCTTCTTCTTCCTCTCTCCCCCCCAGAACAGGATGGTTCTGTGGTTTTTGGGTTTAGATGTTTGTTTGTTGATGAATTAAAACTCTTTAAACTTTTTGTTCTGCAGCTTTTTAACATCTGCCGTCTTGTGTTTGTTGAAGGAGGCAGACGAAGGCGGAGTCTCCTCTGAAGGCTGCAACGAGAAAAATGGCCCACTTCCTGAAGAAGACGAGCCAGGTGGAACCGAACCGACGTGTGAGCCGGTAAATGATAGCACCACGGACGACTCGCAGGTTTGATACCACACGGTCCTCACGGCTAGGTCACCAGCATCCAGCAGCTTTCCTGCTTTAGTTCTTCTTCAGTGACGTAGAGCTGGTCTCAGTTCTTAAAGCTGTTCAGCTTTGTTCAAACTGATAAAACATTCCAGTTCTAATCATTCATCCCATCTTGGACTTGTCTAGCCCTCCACGGATAAGCTGCCACAAGAGAAGACGTCAGAGTCTGAACCAACTGAGATCCCTGAACCAGAACCCTCCTCCGATCCGGACAGTTTGTCTGCTACTCGTCCCGGGATCTCAGCGTCCCCTCAAAGCTCAGAGGAGCAGAAACCTGAAGGAGATCCAGAATCCACGGAGCAACCGTCCTCTGCCGCACCTGATTCAGACTCAAAGACCTTGAGTAGCGGGGAATCCTCCTCCTCCGAGGATGAGGAGGATGCGAAGGAGGCGCCGGTGAAGGAGGGTGAAGCCGCCAGCATCCTTCCTTCGTCTGTCCTGGACAAAGCTAGTGCCATCGCTCAGCACTTCACCCCCAGCATCAAACGAGGCACCCTGGTCCAGGACGACACCCGCTCCCTTGGCTGCGCGTCACCGCGGCTACTCAGCAGGACCGGCAGCAGCCTCAGCCTCAGCCCCGAACCTGCCGAAAGGATGTTGAGGCTCAACAGTATCTGTTCTGATCCTGTAGAGACCTTCGGCATGACAGATTTGACCCTGCTGTCTCCTCGGGGGGACGACCTCTTCGACGCTGACCGAGGCATTCGGCGGAGGAGGAACTCCACCCTGTCCAAGCAGGACCAGCTGCTCATCGGCAAAATCAAGAGCTACTACGGGAACGCCGAGAACAAGGATGCCACCTTCAGCCTCCAGCGCAGAGAGAGTCTGACCTACATCCCCACTGGGCTGGTCAGGAGCTCCGTCAGCCGGCTCAATAGCATCCCGAAGGATGAAACCGTCCAGACGAATCCCTCCACCTCCACCACATCCTCCGGTCTGGAGTCGAGCTCGGCTTTACCCACGGATACCTCGGGTCACATGGTCTCTAGTGACTCTTTGGACTCTTTCAGGTCTGATCAGAGAAGCACAGATCCAGAAGATTCAGAAGACAGCCGCTGGTCCAGATCTCAAAGCTTGCAGGACAATCCATCTGAGGACGAAGAGTTCAGACCTTCCTCTGAAATGATCAAGATCTGGCAGACGATGGAGCGAGAGATCGACCGATCTCAAAGCGACGGCGGAGGGCGCAAACAATCCCAAGAAGCTCCGAGAGGAACCGGCATCAGCCTCTCTGTCAAGACCTCAAACAAGAGCTGTGACGAAGAGGGCGGAGCGTCTGACCTCAACACCATCACTGAGGAATCCACGAGTCCTTCACCCCTCAGGCTCAGATCCTCCGGCGTGAGTCGGACAGGAAGTCTGAAGGACGCCCTGAAGGTGTTTGGGGAAGGTGTTTGGGCTCCGGTTCCTCGGGTCGCCCGGCTGAAGGCGGTGGGGGAAACAGCCGACAAGGACTCGAACCAGCTGGACGACGTGGACAAGACCAAGAGCAAAGTCCTCAATCTAGCCCGCCAGTACAGCCAGCGGATCAAAACCACCAAACCGGTGGTCCGACAGCGGAGTCAGGGAGTCCTGATGGGCAGGAGGACTTTATCCTGTGTAGTGGAGGAGAAGGAGGCTCCAGGTACTGTGATGTTTGGGTTCTGCTCCTCAGATATCAACCGTCAGGGTCCGCCATTGATTTTCTGAATTTGCACAAATTAACAAACTTCATTTTAATTCATGACACAAGTCACTTAAATACTGATTTAAATGAGCAGTAGTTAAGTATTTAAAGAATATGAGAAATTTAAATTGTTCCAAATTTTGGGGATTTGAGGAAACATCATCAGGGAGTTTATGATAAAGATGTAATATTTAATTAAAAAGGAGTAAAAGTGAGTGAAATAAAAGACACATGGTGGAAGAAAAAGACCTTTAAGGATTATTCTGGTTTGCTCCTAGTTAGTTATTGGGCTAGTTAGTTGGTTAGTTGACTTAGTGAAATCAAAACATCAAAAACGGATATATTAAACATTACATTACAGTCATTTGCTTTTATCCAAAGCGACTTACAATAAGTTTCCATTCACACACTGATGGCAGTGACACCTGCCTATCACATTCTATCACATTACAGCTACGGGAGACATTTTGGGGTTAAGTGTCTTGCTCAAGGACACATCGACATGCAACTAGTGGAGCCGGAGCCGGGGATCAAACAGCTGATCCTCTGATTGAAGGACGACCCTGCTCTCCACTTAGCCACCAGTCGCCCACCAGCACAAGCTGGTAGTTTTATCAGTTCTGATAACGTTGTGAGTCCAGCGGGTCCAGAACCTCCAGCAGTCAGAGGATCAAACAGAATGCAGTGAAACTAAGACTCAATAAAGAAAAACTGGAATAAAAATGTAACTTCTCGATGTTTTGTGTTCTGCAGGTAAACCCAACCAGACTCTGCTGGTTTCTCATAACCAGGCCACCTCTCTACCGCTGAGCCCCGTGGACCAGGTCCAGAGTCTTTCCTGCAGCTTGGCGGTCGTGGATCCGGGTCGAGCTCGCTCCCGCAGTCCTCTGAACCCCCTCAGCGCCCCCCCTGCCATCGAGGGCTTTGACTGGCCCGATGTCCGAGAGCTCCGCTCCAGATACTCGGACCATGGCCGCCCCCAGCAGAGTCCCGTCGGCCGGAGTCTCTCCATCCCGGAGCAGATGTTTGACGGAGGTCTGAGGAGGCGCTCCAGCTGCTCCTCCAGCCTCCTCCTCGCCGCTGGGGCTTCTGCCGAGGTTCCCTCGTACGGCCGGGACGCCGGCAGAGAGGAACGCAGGAAGCGTCTGCAGAGAGCGAACTCTCTGGACCCTCGGCTGAGCGGAGCGCAGAGGACCGAGCTGCAGAAGCTCCAGGACCAGGTCGCTATCGGAGACCACGACGGGTACTACGTGGCGGCCGAGGCGCCGCTACCAAACGATGAGGAGCACAAGATCATCGTGGTGGAGAAGCTTCCAGAGGCTGAAGAAACACGAGAAGATGAGGACGACAACTACATCCAGATCCGTTCACCCACCAGCAGGGAGAAGATCTCCATCATGGCCGTCATCGACCGCTGCCGCGTCTACCAGGAGTCCGACGAGTACAAACAGAGGCAGGACGTCAAAATGAAAACTGAGCTCGCCGCCGCCGCGGTGTCATCCTCCAACCGTCGGGACGATGAACCGCAGACCGCAGGATCGAACTCCGGACCGAAGACAGAAGCCGGTCAGCAGAGCGGAGTGAAGAATCTGAGAGAACGGTTCCAGAGCCAGAGCTGAAAAAACCTCCAACGAATCAGAACTTAATGAAACTAGAGATATGTAAATACTCATGTTACAGCAGACAGCAGACAGATTATTTACTGAGATTATGAAAGAATCATTTTAAGCATCATTTAAACTTTTCCAGTGTTTAGATGACTAAATGCCTTTTTATGTAAAAATCCAACAAACAACAAAGCGTCCTCTGGAATTACAAATATGTAAATATCTTAAAATGACCTTCAGTCAGAATAATAGTTCAAAGTTATGTGGTGAACCGGCTTATATAATATAATATAATGTAATGTAATATATTATATTATTATATATTAGCTTATTGTATATTATATTAGCTTATTGTATATTATATTATAATATATATATTAGAGTTACAGCAGAGACTGTCTAAATCAAAGCTGAGGATTCCTGCTGTCAGTGAACTCACCACTAAACAGTCACATTTCTAACCTCACAGATTCTTTTGTGTATATAAAGTTTTTAGAACATTTTTAGAAAAGAAACAAAAGGGAAACAAGAGACGTTAGACTCTAAATGAAAACACACTTTAACTTTAACACCAATGACTCGTGACGTCACTCGAAAATTCAAAATAACGTTAAAGCTTTACGTTCACGAGTCGCCTCTGAATTCAAGAGAACCATAAAGAACTGACCGATACCAAAGAGGACTTAAAGGAAGAACGTAGAACCTGGACGGACTGAGAGCTAGCTTGTTAGCATACAGCTAGCTCGTTATCTAACAGCTAGCTCGTTATCTAACAGCTAGCTCGTTAGCGCGTTAGCTAACAGCTAGTTCGTTAGCTAACAGCTAGCGTGAATGTCAGGATGTTCTTCTGATAATTAGATGTTTTAAAGACGGAAACAACGTTAAACGTTCTTTTAAAAACCCGCTCACATAAACACGGACGCTAATAATCGATCAATAAAAGAGAACTTCTAAATAAAATATTTAAAAAATATAATCTCCTTCATGGTTCTGATATTCTTTCATTATGCAAATTACCTAAATAATTTCACCCTCCGTATATAAATTATGGTGAATTTATTCATTATATTTTAACGTGTTGATTTCTATATTTTTGTGCCTTTTTTAGTTTTTCTATTTTTTGTGAAGTTTTATTTACTTTCTTCATGTATTTATTTCCTCATACGTTTTGTTCTCCGTAAACAAAAGTAACACCTAGAGCAGCTCTATAGAGCAGCTCTTAACCAATCGATTCATTTTAGCACCTTGCTCGGTGGCACGCTGGCACATTTGGGACTCAAACCTGTGACTTTCTTTTTAACCACTGTTGCGCACCATGTTCCTCCTATTTATTTCACCTGATGTAGAAACAATTCTGTTGTCTGTATTTCTATAACTGTGTGTGTGTGTGTGTGTGTGTGTGTGTGTGTGTGTGTGTTGTACACAGATGTTTGTGTCTTCTGTTCCTTATTAAAGCCACTGAGGGTCAGCAGTGTTTGATTATTATATTATAAATATTATCTGTGACTTTTCGTCTAAATCCACATGAAGCTTCTTCATCTACAGAAGTTATCAGATATTAAAATACGTGACATGTCATTAAATAATTAACACCAGCTGAGGTGATGCTCTGCAGACAGCTGAGGTTGTGAGGTCACACACCTTTAGTCTTAATATAATGTAACAACACACATGCATCATATCATACAGTGATACTTTACATGTAGAACTTTAGGAAGCTAAGTTAATGTACATTAATGGGACATGAATACATACAGATAGAGAAGAAGAGGAGGAGCTCAGTGTATCCTAGGACGTCCTCAACTAGGGGCGGGACCGAGCTAAACCTGAGCCAGGCCTAACGAGACCAGGTTGTTAGTTTACCGAAGAGCCTCAAACATCTACGTCAGTGCTGTAATGAGGCAACGTCAGAAGGGTATCAGAGTTTTATAGATACTAGAACTCTTATCTGTACTTTGTTTATTATTTTGTGAGAAAAAATAATTAATTCAGAAAAGAATCCACATCTCTTACTTGTGAAGGTTTTATTGTTTGAGTTCTACAATGTTTTCTTCTCTCTGATTGTGATGTGAGTCTCACGCTGTACTGAGCCGGAGACAAAGAGACAGAGAGACAGAGACAAAAAGACAGAGACAAAGAGGCACAAATACAAAGAGACAAAAAGACACAAATACAGAGACAGAGAGACAAAGACAAATAGACAAAAAGACAAAGACAGAGAGACAAAAAGACAGAGACAAGACGTTTGAGACGAGGACGTCGCACTTATTACTTATGTAATAATCATTACATCATTATTACATCATGATATAATGATGATTATTACATAACATACTATAATCTGTAGAGGAACTAAAGCTGTCAGATAAATGTACTAAAAGTATTTTTACTACAGAGATGTAGTGGAGGAGAATACTTTACCGTTGTACTTCAGTGTAGTACTTGAGAGTAAATGTACCACGGCTCTTCATCACTCATCGTTCATGTGACCGAACTCAGTGTCACATCAGATCTTCACTTCAGCTTCCTGCAGTTGGAAAGTTCACGCTTCAATAACATCATCTTTATCCTCATCCCAGCGTCCTGACACACACACACACACACTCAGCTCTACTGTATTGAAAGCAGAGACACAGACTGAAG